TTGATCTGAAACAAAATATTTTGAAGGTTACCCAAAATGTTAGACCAAGACAAAAATTCAATGATGCCTCACAAAACAAAAACAACCTTGGACAATTTTTGGTTTTGTTTAACATGTGTGGTAGTCCTTCCAAATTAAATTGGAAATCTGAATTATCTATTATCTCAAATCACATTTACTATTATCATTTACACTAAACTTCAAAGACAAAAACTAAACTAAGGCTAAACAAGTATTAGATGGTACGGTGGAAACAAAAACTGATCCAAAATTAGAACATCTTGAATTTCTCCAGTATAAGAGGGAGGATTCAACAATACAAATTATCTATGAAAATACGTATTTCATAATTTTAGTTGCAAATTGTCTATGGGTCACCGGCAGTAATTAAAATCAATTTCATGTAATATTGCTTGAAAGCTAGACAAAGAAGCTTGTGACACACGGACATAAAAATTTTGCTATAAAATGGCAAAATGCAAAATTTAAAAATTTGGATCATGTCCTAACGTGCAAATAAAATATTACCATTTAATAAGTTATGTTACACTTTTGCCATTCGCTTTGATACGTAATTGCATTGCTACTAAATTATAAAACTATCAGAAATGTTTAAATAAATAGATATAAATACTATATAACTGCCCCGGCGCTGTAGAAACATTGTATACTTCATCGTGGGCCTAAATGACTATGTACTTCATTAGAATAAAACATTGTGTACAAAGCACTAAAATATTCTTACAGAGGCCCCTGTATATCATTCATGTAAGATATAAAGAAGTAACGAGCCTAAAAAAATTCATAGATAATAAGTTACGCTTAATGTTAGTTAATTAAATTATCTGACAGGATAAGATAGACCCACCGCTCCAAATACATATTTTAAAATAATTATACTGGCGGAGTATATTACCGGTGACAAATTGTATCCCAACTCAGGTTGAAAACAAATTGATAACAGAAAATTATTTTAATATTTTTAAACTGTTGCTGCGATCGGTTATACTACAAGTTCAACAAACCTTTATAAAAATCATTCCAAAACAAATTTTCTTCTAAAATTTTTTTTAATGTTACTCAAATGTGCCGCTTATCCTGCTCCCTCCCTTAACCACATATTATTTTTGCATATTTGCAAACGTATAGAATAATATTGTATTAATGAATAATAGTTTAACCCTTTCTACTCGGAATGCTATGGCAAAATTCATATAATCTCTGAATTCGCGATTGGAAAGA